CCTGAGTCTGAATATCTTGAGTTGTGTTTCTTTTCCTTAGAGTTTGGAGTGCTGCACCCCTGCCCAATGTGTCCCAAGTAATTATTCAGTGAAGAATTCCTAGGTCTCCCTACTCCCCTCTTTCCCTATACTGTGCTGTTCAAACCCAGACCACTAGATTTATTGCACAGTTATCTAAGGATTTCCTTTCACCATATTCCTATGAGGCATCTATTTGCTCACTTACAAAATAAGTTTTTCTTCAGAATTTTAATGTTACTTGTCTTCTAGCGTCAAGGTTGTGTGAGTTCTGTTGTAACTGATTTCTAGTTACACAATGATACATAATTTAGTTATCCTTCCTCTTTTTCATTGTAAAATATTAGTGCTTAAAAGGATGTCTAGGAGTCAGTTAATTCATTGAAAGTACTTTAATAAATTCCTGATAAATAGTAAATGTTTATTTTTATAATTTGGCAGCATTAATACCTTATATTAATATTCCAGCTTGCTACATGATTTATTAATTTTCAAGAACTTTCTTGTTCTCTGGTACTATTTTATAGTCTGTTCTTGTTTAATGGATGTGCTATCATCTTCAGTTGTTGTAATAATTGAGGAAATCTGCAGTAGGATTTTAACATACAAGATGGAAACCAAAACAAATAGAAACAAAATCAACTTTTTAAAGAACTCCAAATGAATAGAAATCTTACAATTATAATATTTGGGTGGGCGGAAGGCACTGTTAAAGTTTCCTTTTGTTTCTTTAATGCATTTATAGCTCTATTTTGTGTGAATGTTTAAATTTTTAAAAATATTACAAAAAGATGTTGTTAATCTCTTACTCACCTGCTTCACACTCACTTGGCACTTTATTGGACAGCACTGAAGTCCTCTTTTGTGAGGGTCTTTATGAAAAATACAATGAATGCTGCTGCCAAGTACCACCTGATGGAAGAGCAGACTGGTAAAATCATTGCAGTGTGTCTTCATTCACCTTACCCACTGATCTGGCACCATGGGATTTCTGGCTTTTCCCCAAAATTAAAATAACCACCATAAATCTTCTGAATTGCCTCTAGACACCGAGGCAGCCAGTATAGTGCAACTAAAGACATTTGGGAAAGAAGACTTCAGAACTGCTTCAGACTGGCAAGAATGATGGAATATGTGTTTGAAGTAGAGTCTTTTCAAGGGCAGTTAATGGCAATATGTCTTTTACTGTAATAACTTCTTTTAAAACTTTAAACGTTAGACCGGGGATTTGGCTTAATGGCACAAGCACCTGCATGGCATGTGAAGGGTCGTGAGTTTCGATCTCTAGTACCAAAAATAAAATAAAATTTTAAATGTTTTTTTGACCAAACCTCATATTTCTTTGTTTTGCCATTTCTGTTGTGTGTTGGGGCTTTTTCCAAATGTTCTTATAATTAGGTTCTTAGTATTTGGTAGAAATGTGTGTGTGTGTACACGTGTGTACCATGTTTTCTGTTTGCCATATCAGGGAGTATGTGATGTGAGTTTAACCTTTTTTTTTTTTTTTTTTTTTTTTTTGGTGAGACTAAGTTTGAACATTTAAGGTGATACAAGCCAGTTTTTCCATTGCAAAAGTACTTTTTTCTCTTTGTTAACAAAGTGATGTTAGGTTGATGTTTTTAAAATGTAGATACTATTTTTAGAATGTAATTATTTTAGAATAATTATAGGTACTATTTGTATTCTTTAAAAACTATAACATACTATGTATTTCATTTAGTTTGATTCTCTAATTTGCCCAAAGAACTCCTTTCAAGCTGGCTTCTGTTGCCTTTTTATATGTCCATATTAGGTTTTTTGTTTGTTTGTTTTATTCTTGTTCCGTTTTTGTTTTTTTGCAGTTCTTTCTTTCTTTATTGACATATGTTAGAAAGGTATAATATATAATTGTTACATATCTCCTCAAGCACTTTTTACTTTATAAAGATTTTCCTCATTTTTTTTTTTTTTACAACTCCATACAACCATGGTATAGATGCACCATGGTTAACCAAGTCTCTGTATGTTGTTTGGTCACTTAAATTGTTTACAATATTGTGCAATTTGACACAATGCCCTGGTAAATTACTGTGCATGTTTTTGGTGTTTGGTTTTTTCGTTTTGTTATGTTTTGTTTTATTGTATTGTTGAAGATCGTAACTTTAGGGTAGGTCTTAAAATTGGTTCAAAAGCAAAGTACTTGTGGAGTTTAGTTAGATAATGGCAAATTACCCTTCCATAGAGAATGTAGAATACCTACATGTATTATTTTAAAATGTCCATATTTACTCACCAGCTTTTGAGTTTTTGGCTATCTGGGATGAGAAATGGTAGCTCATGTAGACAAAAGTAAAGCCTGGGAATAGAAAACTGTCCTTATACAAAGAACCACTGGGATTTCTGTTTAACACAGTGAATTAAGCAAAAAAAAAATTTTTTTTCTTTCTTTCCCTTTAAACTTGCTAAAATAAGAATAAAGAAGTACACTAAACTTGAGAGGAAAGTGTTTCTTTGAGTGCTGTGCAGGTAGATCTTGTGCATATTTTTTTTTTTCTTGGTGAAATGTCTGTTTAGAACTTCTGTCCATTTTTTAATGTTATTTGGCTTACTTTGATTAGTTACAAGAGCTCGTTAAATACAGTGTTCATTGGGGCTTAATGTGTTTTACAGATATTTTATCATTTGTCTTTGGAATTTGCTTCTTATATTTTACCATTGTAAATGTGTTTCTGTTGCATGATAGTTAAGAGAAAGGCCCTAAAAAGTTGCCTGGAAACTTTATGTGCAAGTCTAGGGCTTATCAGTAGGCATAATCCTTCATGTTTTATCCTGTTGAACTTTTGATTTAAGAGTACTCCGTTCCTAATGGGTAGAGGTAGAGGCTGTAGAGAGGGCCTTTTCCAGTATGCAGATCTTTATTTCTGTTTTCTTCCCTGCCTACTGTTTTGCCTCATTTCTTCAATCTGAAACTCCTTTGGTTCAGTAAATAGTAAATCTCTTGTTTTATTTAGGCAATAGGGTATATTTATGATAGTAGATTGACTGTATGTTCTGGATTGAGAACCTGGAGATCTGTTTATAGTCCTTCAATTAATCCACTTTTACCTTACCACAACTGTCTTAAGTTGTGGAGCTGTATATTCCTGTGGCCTTTGAGAATTATGTAATGAGGATCACTTTTTTTAAAAACAATTCTTAGGATATCGCTCCTCAAGCTTACTAATTCCTTCATGTGTTTTCTTTTGTTGCTGATGTCTCTGGTTCTTTATCTTATCTTTAAAAATTTTATTCTCATTTTAGTAGGTTTGGGAGCGGAAAGGAGCACATATGAATTAGAAATCCAAGATGGTACTGTGTAAATACTGTTCTTTCTCCATAGCTACTATTCTGTGGGTGAGTCAGTGGCTCTCAAAGAAGCTTTTTAGGTTTAGTCTTCCTTAGTGCTCAGATGGTCCCTGTCAGTAGCTGTAAATGGGTATCTCTCTCCTTTTTAGTGCTGCTTGTCCTCAGTAAAGCAAGGTTTTTTTTTTTTTTTTTTTTTATTACAAGAAAAGATCTGTTATTCTTAAAATCTAATTACTTCTTTGTGGATCTGTCTTTTTCTGGTTGATCAGATTTCATTATGTTTGATATAGTCTGTGTTTTATGATTAGTGTGTGTGTGTGTGTGTGTGTGTGTGTGTGTGTATTTCAGTTTAGGTGAATCTTACTGTGTTAATGAGCTTTTCATCAGTGTGATCAAAATTCCAGACATTCCCACTTTAAAAGTTTATTTGGTTTATGGTTTCAGGGAATTCAGTAGATTGTTGAACTGGCCCCATGGCAGAAAAATGATGACAGGTGGACATAGCAGAGCAAAGCTGCTTAGGGGGGTTGAAGTTGACTGCAAAACTTGCCTTGATTAGGAGCTATTTTCTGTTTGCATTTTGACTTTAGTAGCATGTTGTGACAGAAAGACTACTACATTAGTCATATTTTTGTTTTTATAACGAAATTCACAATACGGGTAACTTTATAAAGAAAAGCTCACAGTTCATCAAAACTGACAGTTCTGGAGGTTCACGAGCATGACACTAGCATCAATCTGGCTGTGGCCTGGTTAGTAGCACTACAGTGACAGGAGCATGTGTAGAGTCAAAAGATCAGATTCCCAGACAGGAAGCCAGAGAAGAGATCAGGCTCAGAATTTTTTTTTAGATAATTTTTAAAATTATTACTTTTTTTTTTTATCGGTACCGGGGATCAAACTCACGACAGCCTTGCAAGGCAGGTGTTCAGATTCAGAATTTTATAGCTTGCTCTCTTAAAAACTAGAGTCCCATGAGAGATACTTTATCCCTTTAGCTGACCCCCCCCCCCATCTCCCATAGTCCCCACCTCTTAAAGGTCATACCAGCTCACCTCTACTAGATTGGAGATGAAGCTTCCCACTCATAACTCTAGGAGAACAAACAGAAACCATATCCAAACCATAGTAACCAGAATTGTAAACACCAGGAGTCTTAAATTATAGACCTGTTTTTGTTGTTCTGATGGCTTCCACTTCACAAGGCAAATTTTTAAATATTGATTAGGTAGAATGCTTTCTAAGAACTGTGTAGCTATAAAACTTTAAACTTACAGTCTATCATACCAGGTTGAGAAAGGTGATTTTCACAAGAACGGTAATAGCTAGTATTACATAGAATTATATGTATTGGTAAATGTAAAAAATTACAAAAAAGAATGACTGAGCTGTACATTAGGAAGAGATACAGGAGTTTTGTATTGGAGTTTGCCTTTCTTATTCAGACTTGTTTTGATGATGGGATGATCTTCATAAAGTGATTTAAGTCCAAAATTTAGTAACATTTCTTTCCCATTTGAATTGCACATTAAGTACTATAATTCATTACTGTAAGTGTCATTAGGAAGTTCAGAAAGCTTTTGGCCTTCCATGCTTTTTAAAACTCATAATCGGATATTCTGAAGAGTTAAATAACCTGGGTTTCTTTTACTTTTTAGGATTTAAGTGCCCTGTATGCTCAAAATTTGTACCCTCAGATGAAATGGATTTGCATCTTGTAATGTGTTTAACAAAGCCAAGAATAACCTATAATGGTAAGTCCAACTCTTTAAAATAGTACTTAGAATTACCTTACAGTTTGTAAATTTTCATAATTTAAATGCTTCCTAATCTGTTAAGCAATCATTCTCAAACTCTGGTCTCTGCATCTTTTTAAAAAAACTTTTTATAAATTATTGAAAAGTTCAAAGAGTTTTTGTTTATTAGATTTTATCATCAATTTTTAGGAGGAATTAAAAATTTTACTTAACAATTTAAACATAATAGATGTCATATTGACACAATTTTTAAGTGAAAAATAGGGTTTCTTTGTAAGACCAAAAATATTTAACGACATTGACTTAATGGCATTGTCATATTTTTCAAACTTTTAATTATCTGGTTCAGTGACAGTGCCCCCCATCTTTTCTGCATTCAGCTTGTTGTGAGATGGCATGTCACATATGCCCTGGGAAACCCTACTCTTACAGGCATAAGATTGAAATGGAAATGGCAAATGAGGGTTGGTATGATTACAGATTTTTTTTAGCCTTGTTAAATTATAAGACTCTCAAAGACTTCCTCACTGCATTTTCCAGGAAATTCTTTGGACCATATTTTGAGAATTGCTACACTGAAATAAAATATTCTATATCAGGCCTACAAAAGTATTGTTTGTGATGACTCATTTTCAAAAGTCAGGATGCATGGTTGAAATCATAACTTTTTCTTCTGCTTAAGAGTGTATAATAATGAAAGATGAATACTTAGGCATTAAGAACAAAAGTTTATTTCATAAATACAGTAAATAGAAGGCTGATGGAGAAAAAGAAAGATGTGAAAGACCAAAATTCCATCTGAGCTATCATGTGTGTGTCTGCTGTCTCTCCACAGACAAAATACAAATTTTATTCTGTGAACTGTGAGGCTGTCTCTGCCAGTTTGATTAGGTCTAGTGCTTTGGGCTCTGCTGTTTTTCCTGACAAACATTTCTAGATATTTAAGATTACAATATTTTCACTGTACCCTTGGCACAGTTTGGAGTAAAATTGGGGGAAAAAATCAAACAGTTCTCTCCTGACAAATAAATAGAATAAAATAAAGTAAGAGTGAAAAAGTTTGTTTCTCTAAAAATTTATAATTAGGAATGGGAATTGAAAGGACATCAAGGTGTGATATATATCAATTTCTACAATGAGTGTATTTATTATACATCAAAAAATATACTAATAAAAAACAACAAAACAAAATTTAAGAGAAATTACAGATTTCTTTCTGTTAAATTTGGTTTGATATAAGTTGAGTAAAAAGTACCAGTAAATAGTGGGGCCAATTAAAAGATTGAATTAAAAAAAATCATTTGAGCATCTGTTAAATGTATTAGGTACTGTATTAGGATGTGATGGTATAATTATGAAAGATACATGATAGAGCTTATGGTCACTAATAGTCACTGATTTCTCTGAGCTAAGATTTGTTAAATAATGGTATTATATGAAAAATGTGGTAGCACTTTATTAATCAGAGACTTCTTAAGTAACAACAATGGTGGCAGGAGCATTTATTTTGGAGTCTTTTGCAAACTGATTTAGGCAGCCCCCCCCCATAGCTTTAGCAATTATTTTGAATAGTAAATGTACCCGTTTGTTGTATATTCACCTTTTTGTCTTATGAAATTAAATTGTCTATTTTCTGTAATGTAGTTGAAATTTAGTTACTTACATTCTCATTCAGGCTCAAAATTGAGGTGTTTGGGCTTGTATTCCATACTTGCTCCACTAACTTCTCACTATACTCCATAGCTATGTCTGCTGTAGGTGTCCTTAAAGTAAACAGCCCTAAATCTTAATCCTTGAAAATGAAATAATATATTCACACAGTCTTAGTATTCTATAAATTTCCTTTGTGTAGAGTAGATCTAGTGTACAGTCTTCTAGAATGCAGTTTTGATACAAAGATTTTAATTTCATGCTAGGTTTTCAAACTGTGTCTACTAGAATACTTGTTTGGTGTCTAAAAAAATAGCTTTTGAAGTTTTAAAACTAGTACTTAAGCAGTGGCCAGATACTAAGTAATGAAAAAAGGAGTTTAAATGGATTGATTTCTAAGCTTCAGAAAGGTGGCAGATTAGTTTCGTGTCTACCTCTTAGAGAACATAGGAATTCTAAAACACTCTTGTTTTAAGGGCAGAGCCCTCATGGTGCCTCATCATATTGGTGATGAATCTGTATGAAAACTTGACCTTTGCCTAAGCAAAGATGAGATGAGTAAGGTAATCTCTCAAGCTCATTTTTTTTAGTCACCTATACTTGTTTGTTTCCTAAATTCTGATTGCCAGTCAAATAAATGAAACCTCAAAATTGTGTAAATGCTCAAATAAGAAATTTGTATCTTACTAACTTACAGCTTTGGGGAGGTACGTATGGGGGATTGAACTCAAGACCTCACGTTTGCCAAGCAGGTGCTTGTGCCACTGAGCTAAATCCCCCGGCCCCTAACTTACAGCTTTTATAGCCTTTCCTTAAGTAGCTAGATCTGAAGTTTTGAAATTTACTTAGGAAGTATATATTAATTTAATTGTCTATAAATATTCACAATTAGCAAGAATAGTTGGGCTTATTTTTAGTCTGGATATATTTATAGGCAAAGTCCCCAATAGGATGAGCTACAGAAATTTGTATATAAGTTGGTGATTTAGAGTGTTAGATTCATTTTCACAGATACAGTACTTTAAATATTGATTTGATTTTCATACTAGCTCACAATTTTCTTTTCAAAGTAAATAATATGTCTGAACACCCAAATTTTAGCAAAAACCCCACCCCCCTACCTGCTAGATGATAGCTGGCTCAGCAGAGATTCTGCATAGGAGGCTGAAAGAAATCATGGCAGGAATGAATGCCAAATGCTGTGGGTAATGTATTTAGTGTTTTCTCTTGCAGGTAGTATTTTGATAGGGTGAAAAAAAATTAGAATGCCACATGATTGTTCAGGAATAAAGTATGCCTTTAAGTCAAGTCAGGGACTGCCCATTTCATGTATTTTCCCTCTTTCATGTGCTTTGTTATTTAATTTTATACCTAGTAATTCCTTGTGTAGGTTGTGAACCTAATATAAATTTTGTAAATTTAGAATTTGTCCTCATTTTCTTGTTTGCATCTTTAAAAATGTTTCAAAATAAACCAAAAGAAAAAATTAAATATTATTAGCAAATTCTTTATTTTTGTCTTACCTATTTTTCTCATTGCTGAGAAAAAATACCCTACACTCATAGTTAAGGGAGGAAAGGTTTATTTTAGGTTACAATTTGTAGAGGTTTCAGTCCAGAATCCACTGACTGCAAGGCACAGTGGAACATGCCACTGTGGCGTGGCCTGCCACTGAGAGGGACAGCCATTCATGGCACTGGAAAATAGAAAAGCAACAAGGGGAGAGAGACAAGACTCTTTCTGTCCCTTATATTCTTTGCAGACTACCCACCCGGGGGTCGGTGTAGACTCATACCCTTAATTCTAGCCAGAACTATGCCAAACCAATCTGTGGGCTGATTTACTAACCATATAACCCTTAATTCCAGCATCACATACTCTAGATTCAGCCATCTCTAAAAAAGCCCTGCGACTGCATGAGGCTTGGGGGAGACCTCTAGACACAAGCCATAACACTTTAGAATTGTTTGATTAATAGGGAATTTTATATTTAAGCAAATTTTAATTTACTTGCACTCAGTATTGTGCACATGGAGGTAGTACAATAATAGGTGTCTTAAGAGTGATATAAACTTACGTAATAAATCAAAGGAGAGTAGCTGTTTAGAATCATCAGAAGTGTACCAGTTCTTTAGAAAGCAAGATCTATTAACTGTGAAAGTAAACACACTTGATTGATAGATAGCTTGTTGTGCAGTGAAAGGAAAGGAAAGAACCCAGCTTCTGTACTGTCCATGGGAGGCTTTATCGATAGTCAAGGACTTTTGGTGTTTCAAACATTGATGCATTAGGTAGCTGGCACCTTAATTCTAGTGTGCATGTGCAGCCTTTTAATGATCTGAATTCCCCTTAGCATGAATATGTTTTCCCCTTTGTAGATATAATCTGGCTTCACAGGCATTTCAGGTTCCATTTTAAGGTATGAACTTGCTTTATGCTTTACAAACTACATTTTCTTGGTTTGAAGATTTCTCCCACACACATTGTAATCTTTCTGAATTCAGGATTTTTTCTAAAATTGGCGTGTCTTTTACACATTGAAGTTTAAAGAAATAAACAGGGTGGTTAATTCACTTGCTTAGCATGTGCAAGGCCCAAAATTGGATATATAGCACCAAAAAAACAAAGACAAAAACAAAACATTGACAGCCACCATTGAAGAGGGTTGTTATGATTGCCCGATCATATGTGAATTTTGTCTTCTGTGGAAGATTTCTGTAAATATGATTTGCTATCTCTTCATTTGTTTGGATTGGTAGTTTCTTTGGTTGAGCTTTACTTTAGACGTGTTTTTAAATGACTTCATAAGCATTCATTATAAAGCAGTAGTAAAGTTATTCTCTATGTTACAAATTGATAGTTGTTCATGGAGTATAAGATGGAAGGCGATGAAAAGTGTCAAATTCCTAATATTGTATTATAGAAATCTCAAGATAGGTAACTTTCCAAGAGTTTGATAAAATCAAAAACAAAATCCACATAGAATTCTTGTAGAAAAATACAATCTTCATTGAAGGTAAACTTGTGATAAAAAATACCGAAGGAATGAGAATCAGTGTATATAAAAGTTCTTGGGAGTTACTACTCCCAAGAACTTTAAAATGACTGTAAACATGTTTATTTTTCAAGTCATTAAAAGTTTAAAAGGATGGATAGGAAATAAGGGAAAAAATTAGACTGAAGAATGGGAAGATTTGAAAAAGATTGAAATTTAGCTTTTTAGACATGAGTCATCGGGGAAAAAACTCACTGAGAAGGTTAAGCAGCACAGATCGAACTATAAGTAGAATTAGTAGGTTATAAAATAGGTCTGAGGAATGTATAGTGTAGCAGAGATAAAGACTAATGGAAAATCTGAGAGGTATATGATATATAGCCTGAAGTAAGAACATTTATTGTATATATAAGATATGTCTGGAAAGAGATAGAATTGAAGAGGCAGTATTTTAAAGGAATCTTTTACATTTTGCTAAAAGCTAGGAATTCTCAGATTCATAGAGCACAATAAATCCATAGCTAGAAGCACTATAAATTAGGTACTGAACAAAAAGTGAAAAATGCTAAAATAACCTGAAAAAAGTATTTTATCTTGTTCTACTTATATATGTGCTGATGAAATGATGGCTCTTGTTCCATTTGTATTAGCATTTTTAAAATGCTTCTTGTTTTTTTTAGAGTAATTTGGATTTAGCAGCTTAGTTACCAAAATCATAAGCCCATTTTATTGACTTTAAATTCACTTTTACTGGGGCTGGGATTTAGCTCAGGCATAAACACCTGCCTTGCAAGCACATGGTCGTGAGTTTGATCCCCGGTACAGATTAAAAAAAAAAACAATAATTCAGTTTCACTGCCGTTCTGTAAACTGCCCCAAAACAATATAGTACCAGTTTGGGTTTAAAATATTGTAAAGTGTAGTAGTACTTTGTATAAGTACAAACTTTCTTAATTCAAATCCCAGTTCTGTCACGTAATAGCTGCATAAATTTGGTCTTGGACTCACCTATAAAAATTAGTACTTGAAATGGTACCAGTCTTCATAGAGTTACTTTGAGAATCAAACACGAAATGTGCATAGTTCTTAAGATTATTATTACTAAGAAACACTGCCTTTGACTTTGAGATCTACATCTAAGTAGATGCCTTATTAAATATACTAACATATACAGTTCTTTTTTTGAAACTCTTACAGTTAATTTCAACTGAAAACCCATATAGTTCTATAATGAAAGAGTAGGGAATGGTATGCTGTCATATAATGTGACAGTTTAAAACTGCCACTTAAGGGAAAAGTAATATTCCTGCTTTTTTTTTTTTTTTTTTTTTTTTTTCTTTTGGTCTTTTTGAGACAGGGTCTTGCTGTGCAGTTCAGGCTGGCCTTGAGCTCACTTTGTAGCCTAGGCCGGTCTCGAACTCACAACGATCCCCCTGCTTAAGCCTCCAAAGTGCTGGGATTACAGGCGTGAGCCACCACGTCCGGCTTATTCCTGCTTTTATAAGCAACATGGTGGCCTGTATATTTGAAATCTGTAGTTTCAATTTGATGAATGGTAGCACTTCTTACTGAAATTATCGCAGAAGTTAACCTTTATAAAAAATTGTCTAAATAATAAATAATCGTGTTTATGTTGAAATATATTCTTAATGGCTTGTTAGAAAACAGGATGTATAGCAAAGAAATGAAAAGAACTTAGTTCAACTTGGGCATGGTGATGTATGCCCATTATCCCATCTACTGGGGAGTCTGAGACAGGAGGATCGAAATTAAAATCCATTTTAGGAAATTTAAATCTTTTCTTTTTTCTTTTAAAGGGGGTAAAATTAAACATAGCATAACAGAATAAAATAGGACATAAGAAAGCAATGTAGAGATACAAATTTCAAAGCCAGACAACCTGAGATCTTCACTATCTTATTATATTGTCTCTTGTTTTCTTCCAAATAGTTGTCCATGTCTTCACATACAGAGAATTCATACAAAACAGCATAGTATAAAACTGATCTGAACAGAATGAGGAATGTGTTTTTAGGTCTTCAAAATCAGACAATAGGGAAGTCACTAATGGCTGTCATAGAGTCTCTTAATTCTCTTCAAAATAGCAGACCATACTTTCATGTATATTGAAGTTTAACAAAACAAAACCGGCAGAGGGGGAGAGGTTGCTTGTTTTCACCGCGTTCCAGGTCCCAGGATGGCATGGGTTCCAGTAAATGCCATGGCTCCTGTCCTGGGCTGCGGGAGCCTGCCATGTTCACAGCCACTCACCAGGTCCCAGTAAACGCCAGTGGCTCCTGCTACAATCTGCCATGCTCACAGTGGCTCACCGGAGGGTGGGTGTATGGGCAGTTGCTTTAAGCTGTTTCTTTCTAATGAATTGAGCATTTTACTGCCCAATTCTGAAATGGCCAACAGACCATAGAAATACGTCTTTAGGCTCTTGCTTAAAACCAACAGCGCCAGAAAGCTGCCGGCCTTGATTCAGGGCCAGGGAAATTTAAATCTTTTGTCAAAATAAGACTTAGAAACAAACTGGGAGTGTAGCTAGTGATAGAACTCTTGCTGTGTGGGGGGGTATGTGGGGGTGGGAATGGGGTTGTAGATTCTCACAGATCTTCAAGCTGTGAGATAGATTTCTGATTTCATTTAATGACTTAATTTGTCTGATCTCGTAGAACTTTTTATAAACTTTGCCTTTTTGGAGTTCTTTTCCTTCAATGGGTTTCATTATTTTTCCTGTCTGTCTGATTTCAATATTGTAATTTCATGAAAGCTTATTTGAGTTTAAGAAAAAAGTCAGAGACAGCAGTGCGAGGGACAAAGTAAAAGAGCATAGTGCTCTCCAAAGCAAAAAGTGTTCTTCTCTTGCATACAATTAGTATCTTAAGATGTGTTGATTTTAAAGGAATTCTAATACAAGTATTTTCATTTTTTTAAGTTCATTTATTGAAGAAAGCTAGGACTCAGCCCCACCTATAAACAGCTTTACTCTTACGCAAAATTATATATAGATATGTAGTAAAGGCATTTTACTTCTTAAAAAGATAAAGAGGAAGTAAAGGGAGGGTTATATAGGAATGGGTAGGGTATTTGGTAGTAAGGAAAAGTGATAAGAAAAAGTAAGGTGAGAAGATAGATTAGGGCTGTGTAATGAAATTCTTTAAAAATCTTTTTGGAATATGGAAGGTTAATGAGCAGTTTAGAGAATGGTACAGTTATTTATGTTGGTATAGTAAGTACCCTGCAAGGGCTAGGTGATATAATAGGAAGGGAAAGAGGAATATAAAGAATGTGGAATCTGGGTTTAGTGACTGCTGGAAATGATTTAGTGTAGGCATTAGAGTAACTAAAAATGGGGTAAAGAGATTTTGAGACTATCTAACTGCTCTAAACATTGTACCAAGGATATGATCTTTACAAAATGTGAAAATTATGAAATGTGGTTTTCATAATTTTACCAAAAGAGAGTTGTACAGATTTTGCAACGGATCATTGAGTATTTTGTTGAGCTCAAAAATGATTTTAAGAAAAGATTAAAGACATTGCTTTTTGCTGGATGTGGTGGCACACACCTTACAATCCCAGCACATAAGAGGCTAAATCAGGATTGCCATGAGTTCAGGGCAGCCTGAATTATAGAACAAGACCTTGTCGAAACAAAACAAAAAAGGATTATGAATGTTTTTCCAGTGATCATTTACTATTTGTACAAAAATTTTAAAAGTGCCTCCTCTTGGTCTGGGATGTAGCTCAGTGGCATAAGTGCCTGCCTGGCAAGCACAAGGTCCTGAGTGCAATTCCCAGTACAAAAAAAAAAAAAAAAAAAAGTGCCCGCTCTTAAAGTCACCATAGTCATGATTACACAGGTTTTGTGTCAGGAGTCGCCTTGAGACAAGTCCCGAAGTCATTCAGTCTAGTATTTGGTTACAATGGGGCCAGTGGCTCTCTGTTCTGGGAAATTGTATTTAACTTTTAACATTTTTAAATGTATTAAGGTAAAACACAAATAATAAAGAAAAATATACTAGATAATGTCATTCTTTTGTCATCTAAATTTTCATAATACATTTATGATTTACTTTAATTTTCATTTTTCGGTAGACTGATCTTGGGTTTCCAGACTTCTCGGCTTCATTCAGTACCTTTTGTTCCTTGTTGTCTCCTTGTGTTCGTTGTTCCTTGTGTCTCCTTTTATCTTAATCTGAACTCACATTCCTCTTTAATTCCTTTAATTATTTTCGGTATAAAAGATCTCTATATAACTGAAAAATCTTTTACACTGAACACCCAGCACCCAGATCTTGTTTCTAAATACCATGTCTGGTAAAAGCAAACAGTGTCCTTTGAAAAAATGACTGACTGATTCTAGTACTAGGGCAGGGAAAATCAAGATGAGCCTTGAGCGCCTTATAGTGTCTAAAAGGAAGAAGTGCTCAAAAACCCAAAGGCTGAGGTCATGTCAGAGACATTGGAGCCAAGCTGAAAGAGCTCTCGGACACTAAAGCTGAAACAGCAACAGAATTAATATGGCCGCATGGTATTGGATTATAACACAAAGTATAAAGTAAATACTGCATGTGTAGTCCCTAAAAATGAATGAATAGCACTTTCTATATAGAAAAGTTTTTTTTTTTTTAATTTTTATTTAAGGAGAAAAGAAAAGAAAGAAAAAAAAACAGTGAAGGGGTACAAGTTATACAGATTTACAGAATAAAAAAATGCGCAGTAGGAAATCACTAGTTAATGGATTACATATTGCCATCTTAGAAATAATTGTTCAAGTCACAAAATTAAAGCTTGTAGAGTGGACATTCCACCAATGATACTGCAAACAGTTCTGTTCAATGATCCAATAAAACTCTGTGATATCATTTTCTATCTTATACTTTTAAATATACATGCAGTTATATAGTTTAGAGCACTTTCTTTTCCTCTCTTTTGTACAGTGACTATTACACATTTTGGGTTTCATTGCTCCCACAGTTCTTGTTGCTTTTTTGGAAGAGAGTAAAACCAAATGTGACATAACAGAACAGAATCGGTCAAGTCAAAAGGGTGGACATAATAGATAATATAAAAACATAATACAAGGTGATCAACAATGGTTACCCTAATGCCTCCCGCTATCTCTAATAGAATTGCCTATATCATTAGTTGTAATACAATTGAACAAAACCGTAAAGAATAAAACCGACAAAACCAAAACATTGGAGACATTGTAGGTCTTCAAAAGTAGATAAAAGTCAACGAGAATGGGCGTTATAATGAATCTCATTATCTTCTCAGCTGATGCCTAAACTTTCGAACCTGATACTATCCAGCAAAACAGAATATAGGGACCTCAGTCAAAAACAAGATGGTGAGAGTAATACAGGGCTTCAAATCGAGATAATAGAAAGTCAAAGTGGGTTACTATATTATATCCTGCTATATTTTTCCCTGTAATTAAATGGGTAAAAATAAAAAAGTAAATAATGGAGTGGAGATTGAGAAAAAAAGAGGGCATAACAGCGAAACAGGGCAGATCAAAACATAACCATTTAAGCAGAATAGTGTTTCACCACCAGCTAATCCTGACCCAAAGATAGTTACCATATTGACTCCCTCCCTGAAGTCCTTGAGTACAACTTCATATACTGTAGCATTAAGTATATCAAAACAATGTAAATCCATTTAAGAGAATAACAGCATTATAGAGTATTTAGAATCAACTAACAGAAAATGAACAATGGTCTCTGTATAATCTCCTTGTCTTTAAAAGGTTTTTTCTTATACTATCGTACATAGTAAAATCCAATAAGATACAACCTGTTTAGACCATTGGAGACAGAAGAACAAAAGCTAGATGAGACTTCAAAACAAGATGGTACTAAATCAGCATTACCTATTAAGATGTCATTTTCTCCAAAAAAAGCTGTTCCTATCATCCAATCTTCTCTGTCTCATTTCTGTTGAGCTCTTTTTCTGTCAGTAGCTGTCAGTTTGTCTTCTTCGTTTTGGTCTCTGCTCTATTCGTTGTGGCCTCCCCGCCCCTATTTCTGGGTTCTTTGTATTTTTCTTTTTTTAGAATATCCTGCAATACTTTCTGTAGGGTTGGATTGGTGGTTGCAAATTCCCCCAGTTCCTCTTTATCTTGGAAGCACCTCGTTTTTCCATCAATTTCCAGGGACAGTTGTGCAGGATATCTCAATCTTGGCTGTAGATTATTATCTTTCAAAGCTTGAATTATTTCTCCCCATGCTCTTCGTGATTTGATGGTTTGTGAAGAGAAATCTGCTGTAATTTTGATGGGTCTTCCCTTGTAAGTGATCTGTTTCTTGTCTCTTACAGCTTTTAATATTCTGTTCTTGTATTGAATTTCTGGAATTTTTATTATTATATGCCTGGGTGTTTCTCTGTTAGGGTTGTAGGTAGCTGGGGTCCTGTATGCCTCATACATTTGAGTATCTTTACCTTTTGCTAAATTAGGAAAATTCTCCTGGATTATTTCTGTGAGTAGCTTTTGTAGTTCACTTGTTTGTGTCCCTACTTCTTCTTTTATGTTCTTAATCCTTAAGTTACGGCTCCTCTTATCATCTTCTTGTCTTTGTATTATTGCTGTGTGTTTCTTTGTTATTTTTAAGAAGTTTTTCATTTCATTCTCCCATGTTTCAAGTCTGCCCTCCAATTCAGATAGTCTGTCCTTAGTTTCTTTCAAGCTGTTATGCCAGTCTTGGGTATACTTCTTGATTTCTTGATAGTCCCTTTGCACCTGCTTCACATACTCAATGCTTTCTCTGTTTTCTCCATCAAGCAATTCTCCCCTCTTTTTCTGTTCTTCCACTCCACCATCTGCTTTTTCCTGGGTGGTGCTTAGCATTTCTCTAACTATTCTGCATACTTCTAGCTTCAGGTCATTGATAACTTCATTCCTGAATTGGTCTATGAGGCTCTCTAAATGGCGCTTAATGTATATTGGTACAGTGTCCACTATTGCCTGATTCTCAGGATTGGGGGTCGAGGAGCCTTTTTTGTTGCTTCCCTTCCCCATATTTTCTGTTCCTTATAAAATGTAATCTTACACAGGAGGCCCGGCTTCCCTGCCTGTCAGCTACAGCTTGATCGAATTGCGCTGGCTAGTTGTTCCAGCTCACCGCTGCGCCCCAGGGAGTTGCGGAGGAGGCAGCCTACGCGGAAGTCGGTCGCTCCTCCGGGCCACCGTCAGGCTCTGGGATCTGGGCTAGGCCAGCTTAGGGAGTCCGCGAGCAGCGTCCCTCCGGCCAGGCACCTTTCACCAATCCCGTCCGAGAGGGAAATGCGCGGCTGCAGTTGCCACCGCGCCCTGCTCTTACAGGACTGCCCGCGCCCAGAAAATCCTCCGCTGGAGTCAGACTGCGGTAGGGAGTCAGTTCCTCGCTCACCTCGCCTCCAGTCAGCCTTCCTTCCTGCCCGTCGCGTTTCCGAGACCGTTCCCAGACGCCCGTTCCCAGAGCTCGGGGGTCGCATCTCTCC